ATTATTTAGACTTCATCAATTTTCTCTGAATGTCCTTTCTTTGTTCCAGGATCCAATTCAGGGTACACATTACATTTAGTTGTGATCTCTCTCCTTTGAGTCTGTGACAGTTTCCAAGTCTTTCCTTGTCTTTCATGACCTTGACAGTTTTGAGAAGTATTGAGCATGGTTTCTTGCAGAATGGCCCCCAATCTGGTTTTGATATGTTTTCCTCATGATTAGACTGTGATTATGGGTTTTAGGGAATGATACCACAGAGGTGAAGTACCTCCTTGTCATATCATATCAGGAGACATGATATCCACATGACACCACTCATGACGTTAACCTTCATCACTTGGTCGATGTTGTGTTTGCTAGGTTTCTTTGTTGTAAAATTACTATTTTTCCCTTTCTCTTATATACCTTGGAAGCAAGTCATTAAGTCTAGACCACCCTTTTGGAAAAAGGGTTAAGCTCCACCTCCTGGAAGGGGTAGTATCTACAAATATATATTGTTCCTCTCTTCTTCCTATCTTCAAGCTACAGATCAACCACAACTTCCTCCTTGACTATATTTTTCTACAGCATATACTGGCATCTCATTTTCCTAAGTTCTTATGGCACTTAATGTTCAATTCAAGGAAGGAAAATTAACACAATATTGACCTCACCTCTCATATTGGCAAACAAATGAGAAAGCGTGATAGGATCCAGTGCTGGGGAGTCTATGGGAAAATGAACATGATCATACAAGGTTTTTAGTGAGATATACTTCACATTGCATAAAAATCACCCTTTTAAAGTGTAGGTAGTTTTTAGTGTATTCACAAGGTTGTGCAACTATCACCACTATCTGATTGTAGAGTATCTTCATCATTCCCCCCAAAACTGGGCACCCATTACCAGTCATTCCCCATTCTTTCCCCTGCTTAGTCCTTCATAACTACTAATCTACTTTCTGATTTGCCTACTCTGGGCATTTTATGTAAATGGAATCATACAATATGTGACCCTTTGTATCTGGCATGCTTTGCTTAACATAATGTTTTCAAAGTTCATTCATGTTGTAGCAAATATCATACTTAACCCCATTTTATGGCTGAATAATATTCCATTCTATGTGCATACCATATTTTGTCCAATCATCAAATGATGGACCTTTAGGTTGTTTTACTTTTTTGGCTATTACAAATAATGCTGCCATGAGCATTTGTTTACACATTTTGTGCAAAAAAATGTTTTTAATTCTCTTGGTTTTATACTTATGGAAATTGCTGGATCATATGATAACTCTATATTTATTTGAGAAACTGCTGAATTGTTTTCTAAAGCAGCTGTACCATTTTACATTTTGGCCAACAATGTGTGACTATTCCAATTTTTCCACATTCTGGCCAACACTTGGTGTTGTCTGTCATTTTTGATTCTAGCTGTGCTAGTGGGTATGAAATGGTATGCCCTCGTGGTTTTGATTTACCTTTTTCTAATGAGTAATGATGTTGAGCATCTTTTAATGTGCTCATTGGCCATTTGTATATCTTATTTGGAGAAATGTCTAGTCAGATCTTTGTGCACTTAAAAAATTGAGTTATTTGTCTTTTTATTGTTGAGTTGTAAGAGTTCTTGATATATTCTGGATAATAACCTCTTATCAGATACATGATCTGCAAATATTTTTTCCCATTTTGTGAGCTTGTACTTTGATAGTAACCTTTAAAGCACAAATTTTAAAAATTTTGATGAAGTCCAATTTATTTTTCCTTTTATTGCATGTATTTTTTGTGTTATATCTTTAAAAAATTGCATAATTCAAGGCCACAGAGATTTAAATCTATGTTTTCTTCCAGCAGTTTCATAGTTTTAGCTCTTACTTTTATGCCTCTGATTCATTTGGAATTAATTTTTGCATGTGGTGTGAGGTAGGGGTCCAAATTTATTCTTTTGCTTGTGGATATCTAGTTGTCCCAACACCATTTGTTGAAAAGTTGAACAGTATTTGGGACATTGCACTTTGCAATATTTCTCAAAATTAAAAATACACATTTCTTATATCCCAGAAATCCTTTCTCTAATTTGTGGAATACTGATGTGACTATATAAAGACTCATATTTAAGGACATTGGTTGCAGTATTGTTTTTTTTTTTTTAAGATTTTATTTATTTATTTATTCGACAGAGAGAGACACAGTGAGAGAGGGAATACAAGCAGATGAGTGGGAGAGGGAGAAGCAGGCTTCCCGCTGAGCAGAGAGCCCGATGGGGGGCTTGATCCCAGGACCCTGGGATCATGACCTGAGACAAAGGCAGACGCTTAATGACTGAGCCACCCAAGTGCCCTGCAGTATTGTTTTAATTGTAAAATATTGACTACAGTAAAGTGTCTTAAGTGAGTAATTGATAAACAAATTGTGATATGTTCATATAATGGAATGCACTGTGCCTGTTAGAATGAGGTAAAATTATACGTACTGACTTTAAAAGATGCTATTATATTTTATTGATTTAAAAATATTTATTGAGTTCTGTTCACCAGATACAATACTAAGAGCTTTAAAAGTATTGACTCATTTTTTAAAAAAGTATTGACTCATAATAACTCCATGAGATAGCTGTAATTATTATCATCCTATTTTACAGGTGAAGTAGCTGAAGTTGTGGCATTTAAGCAACTTACCCAAGGTCACATAGCTATCAGATAAGGCAGGATATGGAAAGTCTGACTCTAGAGTTTGTACTTTAAAGCATTAGCTATGAATTCATATGTATATGTATCATTTGGCAACAGAGGTTTTCATGAGCATAGTGAAAATCTGATAGAATAGCCAGCCAATTATCTGTGGTCAGATTTAAAAGATAGGAAGGAGAGGGGAACAAACGTGCTGAGAACCTCCTATGTGTCTTTTTTTTTTTTTTAAATATTTTATTTATTTATTTGTCAGAGAGAGAGAGAGAGAGAGTGAGCACAAGCAGGGGGAGTGGCAGGCAGAGGGAGAAGCCAGCTCCCTGCAGGGAGCCGAATGTGGGACTCGATCCCAGAACCCTGGGATCATGACTGGAGCTGCAGGCAGACGCTTAACCAACTGAGCCACCCAGGTGTCCCTCCTATGTGTCTTATATTGTTTGGTCCCTACATAAATTGTCTCATTTAATCTTTATGACTTTATTTTCAAGATATAAGTCATATACCCATTTTATAAAATAAGACCCTAGGAATCTAAGTGTCAAGTTGCATAGCAGAAGACAAAGTGCCAGGAGGCTTTCCAGGTTTAAAGAGCAGCCTAAGCAACAGTGTGGAGATGGTAGAGAATGGAGTAGTTAGGTGACTAGCCTCACTAGAGCTGAGGGTTCGTTTGGGAATGGAAGGAAAACAAAGTAGGTTTAGTGGAGCCATACTATGAAGTGTGTTGAGTGCCTGACAGAGGAATTGAGGAACGTTGACTTTAACGAACAGAGTGAAGGATTGGTGAGGATGAGAGTGAAGATGAGAAATCCATCATTTTTATACACTTCTTCATTGCTTGACTTTGTTACAACTACATATTATTTTCTTTTTTTACTTTACTTTTTAATTTAATTTAATTTTTTATTAACATATATTATTTGTTTCAGGGGTACAGATCTGTGATTCACCAGTCTTACACAATTCACAGCGCTCACCATAGCATATTATTTTCATAAGTAAAAAAATCTGAGATAAAAGTATTTAACAAACATTTTGAATTCTTACTCCATGCTAGGTATCATAGTATTGTTGATTCCCGCTCATGCAAAGACCATCAGGAACACACCTGTATTTGAACAAAGATAAGTTTATTGGCTTTTTGCAGGAAGGGAGAATATAGGTCATGAGGAACATGGGGCATCCAAAAGGAAGATGTTAGAAAGGATTTATTATATTATTTGGGCTTCTGTTAGTTGATGTTGGGGAGAATTTAAGGAAAATAAGAGATTTTCTCTGGACTTTGTCAGAAAGTGGAAGAAAATTCTATGATTGGGTATCTTAATTTTTACCTAAAAGGCAGTTGGGCTAAAGCTTTACTTGGTAAAGAGGCAGTAGTCACTAATAAAGTGACTAAAGAAGGGGATGTTTGGTCATTTTTTACAGTTGGGACAGTTCTTGCTCAGACATGGTTATGGAGGGTTTTTATTTTTGTCTTGATCCATCATGTTCACATAGTGGCTTGGTTTCAGGGTGCCATTTTGTGAAATTGTTTATGTTCAACAGGTTTATACTCCATGGCCTAACTTATAGTGTCAAGCCCGCTCCTGGGAACAGCAACACTTAAGTGATAATTGCCAGGCCAGTTCCCCAGTTCCAGGGGCTGCTTTCTTCTCTGTCACTGTGGGTTGGGGATCCAGAAAGGAAAAAGGCAATTCCCATTCTGAGAGAGCTCTCTCAGGGGGAAATACATGTAAATAAATAAATTATGCTACAATGGGGTACATGTAATAATGAAACTGTTAAAAGAAACTTCAACAAATGATTTTTTAGCATGTATCCAAGTTTTATTTCAAACGTACCACAGAGGAACTATACCTCTAAGAAAATTTGTTGAAAGAGTTCCTACTGGTCAAGAGAGTTTTTTCTCCTCTCTTTTAATATAGGGAAAACATGTTTAGATAAGATTGTTAGGCTAGGGATAAGAAAAGAGTGTCTGTTAAAAGTTATAGAAAGGTCTCATGTCTAGTTAAAATCTACTGCACCTTTAATGTATATTAAACGTGCAGTCCTTTTGTATATCAATTACACCTAAAAAAACTGTTAAAAAAGTCACTGCACCTTTAGCTATTTGGTAAAGGTCATTAGACTTGTCCTAAATCTGAAGGCAAATCTTTCAGGAAAGTCTGACTTCTATAATATAGCAGTTCCACCTTATCACTCCAATGATGATAGCCTTTAGAAAAATTTCACTGCATGTTGATGTGCAGTGAATTTAGGTTTTAGTAGTCAGCATGGGTATTTAAGCTGAGCATACTTCTGGGGAAAAGGAAAAGCTTTTAATTACTCAGAGTAAGAACTAAAAGGCCATTAAAAATTTATACATCTCCAACTTACTCATCATTAAAATTTGGAAGTATGGACATCTTTGGCTCAAGAGTTTTCTCATTCTAAACAGGATGTTTCTCAGGGCAAGTTTCATGTCCTTATTGCGAAGACTATAGATCAGGGGATTAAAGAGAGGAGTCATTATTGAATATACCAGTGTGAGAATCTTATGCATCAAAGTTGGGATGCCATATGTAGGACTCACATACATTACCATGACTGTCCCATAAGAAAGTGACACCACAGCTAAGTGAGACCCACAGGTGGAAAAGACCTTTCTCCGGCCAACTGCAGAAGGGACCTGAAAAACAGTTCTGAGCAACAAGATATAGGATCAAAGAATGTACATAATAGTAAAAAAGAGAACAAGGGAGCTCTGAGTATAGAAGATAAATTCAGTAATGGGGGCCGGAGTACAAGACAGAGCCATCAGTGGGTCCATGTCACACAGGAAGTGATCAATGATATTGGGTCCACAGAAGGGGAGTTGGGAGATGAAGAAAATGGGGATCGGGTAGCCAAGGAATCCAATAAGCCAGCAGAGACACACCAGAATTCTACAGAGTTTCCCAGTCATGATGGTGGGGTAGTGCGGTGGGTGGCAGATAGCCAGGTACCGATCATAAGCCATTACTGCCAGGAAGAGACATTCAGTTGTGCTCAGGGAAAAGAAGAAATAGAACTGGAGGAAGCAGCCAGAAAATGAGATGGCCTTGGTTTTGGAGAGAATGTTGGCTAGCATATTAGGAACAGTGGAGGAAGCATACCAGATCTCAAGGAAGGCAAAGTTTCCCAGCAGAAAGTACATTGGGGTATGTAGTCGTGGGTCCCATCTCACTGCACAGATGATGGTTCCATTTCCCAGCAAGGTCAAGACATAAACCACCAAAAAGAGTGAGAAGAGGAAAATCTGTATCTCCCAGCAACCAGGGAATCCCAGGAGAACAAACTCAGTTACAGTGTGAATGTGTGTTGCCGACCTGTTCATTGTCTTAAACCTATGAAGAAGAAAGACATGAGTGTAACACAAGTTTCTTTGCTTCCTACATGTTTCAAGGACTTTATTGAGAAGGGACCTTAAACTTTACAGGAAAATAAGATATTTTGAGACCAGGTGGGAATAAATCTCACCTTATTTTTTTTTAAAGATTTTTATTTATTTGAGAGAGAGAGAAAGAGAGATAGTGAGAGAGAGCACAAACAGGGAGGAAAGGGAGAAGCAGGCTCCCCGCTGGGCTCGCTCGATTCCAGGACCCTGAGATCATGACCTGAGCTGAAGGCAGACACTTAACTGACTGAGCCACCCAGGCTCCCCTCTCACCTTATTTTGAATTGATCGTGGTTCTAAATCTTAGTGTTCTTTTGCTAGGATATAATGCAGCAAGAATTTTCTACATCAGTGGTACAACCAGACAAATTTCTTTCTTTTTTGATTTCTTTGATCCTTAAGAAGACGTTTTATGATTCTGGTTTGTTTTCCTAAAGTTGATTGTGGGTCTTCAATGTACAGACTCATCCACTTTCTCTTATTCAGCTTATCTTGTTTAAAAAAAAAAGGCAAAGATTTTGAGGACAGCTGATGTGAGGATGGGTTAAACCTTTGGCAACAGAACAAAATTAGTTGACTTACTCATGGAGATAAAACTTAGCCAAGGACATTGGCTTTTCAGAATTGTCTAATCAACTGAATTAATTGTTATAGACATCTCTACAGTCAAGACTCAGGGCTGTTCTTAAATTTTCCTTTAAACATTTTATTTATTTGACAGAGAGATCACAAGCAGAGGGAGAGAGAGGGAGAAGCAGGCTCCCTGCTCAGCAAGGAGCCTGATGTGGCACTCGATTCCAGGACCCTGGGATCATGACCCAGGCCGAAGGCAGCCACTTAACCGACTGAGCCACCCAGGCGTCCCTCCTTTAAAGATTTTTTAAAAAAAATATCACTCTAACAGTTGAGTGACACCTAAAAAATACACAAAAGCCCAATCATATCAAATTATCTTTGCTCTAAAGGATAAGTGAGGATATTATTTTCAATTATCTGTATTTGCTAGTGTTTATTTTAATGTTTTTTACACATGCTATAAAAAATGAACTGTCTTACTCTTCATATTCAGATCCTACCTAGCTAAAATAAAGAAAATGATGTTTTCAGTACAAAGTTTTAGTTCATTTAGTAAGTAATTTTGGATGATAAAAATAGGGATCTGAGGTTGAATAGGGTCTTATCTGCACTTTTATCTGGTAGATTAATTTTGTTTTTTGAAAGGGAGAGGACATTTTCAAATATTTGGATAGGCATGTACTTTTCAACAGTATTTAAGAACTGAATGGAGCACTGAGTGCTATACACAAACAATGAATCATGGAACACTACATCAAAAACTAATGATGTAATGTATGGTGATTAACATAACATAATAAAATAAAAAAATGTAAAAAAAAGTATTGAACAAAAAAGTTAAAATTTTTGTGTTTAAACAACAGAGTAATCTTTAATTAATATTGAAAAGCACTAAGAGTCTTAGAAATGGTAGTTTCAATATTGAGTTTTCTTGTTAAATTCAGACCTCTTGCCTTATCTATTGGAGGTCACCAGTTATAACTTTGCCAGGAATGAAGGGTAAAGAAATTTGAAAGGCAAATAAGAACAGAGATTTGGACTTCAATGTTACTAGTCCCTTGTTGGTGGTTTTTAAGGAAGCATAAAAAGGAGGTTTGCGCATCCATGTTCTAAAGTTGTCCAGTTTTCCAATCAATGTTGAACTCGAAAGACATTTGTTTTCCACTTTCACTGAATAAGGTGCTCAACAGACAATTTCCAGACTGTTATTTATGAAGCATAAATAAACTAGTTTCCCTGCTGCTCAGGGACTAAGTCCAGGCTCAAAGATTCAAACTAGAAACCAGGATCCTGAGATCAGTTGCTTCTTGTCCTTTCTGAAAAATGGACCATGCCTACTTAATGTGAATAACAGTTCAAGACACTCTCCATTATACACCAACAACTTCACACTTAATTTCATTTTTTCTACCACCATACCCTGTAAAATTGATTAGCAGAAACATTATTTTTCCTGTAAACTTTGGTCAAAGTGTTGGTAAGTAATGGGATAATCAAAGGGTGGGGAGCTTAATGGAAAATCCAGAGTAATCAATTTTTATTTTAATCACTGAAGGACTAAACTGACTCCATAAAGTTCTGCATAACTTCATCCTTGAAAGCCTCCAAAATACTTGCTCAGAATAGGTAGGGTATTAGAATGGAAAATCCACCATTTTATACCATAAAAATGCTGTTTTCATGCTTTTGGCATTCATAAATCACTATATGAGCTATAATTCTAGGGGACTAGGTTTTTCATACACTCCTTTCTAGTATGAGAAACCAACAAACTAACCAACCAATCACATTCTTGGGTGGCCACCTCAAGAGTAATAATTTGATTACATAGCCTCCTTCCAAATGTCCCTCACATGATATAGTGTCTTCTCAGGTGGTCTGAGAGAAGAATATAACACCTGATTAGTCCTAGAAAGAGATTATTTTCAGAAAGATAGTCCTTAATAATAAAAAAATAATAGAATTGGGGAAAAATGGTTCAGATAATTTACTCTAACTTTTCATTTTACAGATAAGCTTCACAGAGGGTTCATGACTTTTTACCCAATGAACGCACATGTCCTGTATTCACATATGGAATGTTCACACTATACTACTACAGAGGAACAATGTCTAATTAGATTTATAAAGTAAAAGGCAGTCTGTAGTATATCACAGCAGTAGTTGTAATATGGGCAATTAGTCCCCTTCTCTTACATACAATGATGGGTTTCCTGGCTCAGCTTGGAAAGAGGGATGGACACAGTGGGGTTGAACATAAAGGCATTATCTCTTCATTGGCTTTGATAATGAAAACTCCAGGTGAGAGCATTATATGTGGTTCACTGGACTTCCTTAATTTCTGGAGGCTTTAGAAGCTTGTTTTCTAGGAGTTTACTGAGACATTTTAACATGCAAGCCAGTGTTTAATCTCAGGGATTAATCCCTCTCAGGGATTCCTCTAAAACTCGATGTCTCTCCCCAAGTGGTTTCAGTGGCTTCCTCACGTTTCCCCTGGAGTGCATCCTCTTTCCGATTTTTGGGGCTCATCCAGGTTTTAGTAGATTAGCTCCTAGTAGATTAGTTTTGTTTCATAGGAAACAGAGAATCCAGGGGAAATAGTAAATAAATTTCAGGAAGCTTTCTATTGCAGAGATTGCATTCCATTAAAGAATCATCCTCTGTGGAGATTAGTGCAATAAATGGAAGTTTTGCCCATGACTCGAATTCTGAAACTGAAATATGTTTGTGAATAAATGCTTGTGAAGTGTTGCAACAGAGAAGCATGAAACTATATTCTGTTGGTCACTTTAAAGTTAAATCCGCTATGTTTTTCTGGAGTCTTCCACTGTAATGACCAGGTGGTTGGTAACAGGTAGGTACTGCCTTGTGTGACTGAAATCCAAGATGGCAGGAGCCATTTAATTGACTAAATTAGTCAAATTATCAGTTTCCTTTATGATTTCCTTTTCTAAGAGTGGGAAATTTGAAATCAGTGCAAACACAAGAAGAGATTTTTTATCATTGGTCTTTTGTTTTTCTTCTTAAAAAAATTGAGGTTTCTTCTGAGGATCCTCTTAAACCACTTCTTCAAAATATGACTCTTAGGAAATGTTGACAGTGATGATCAATGAGAAAATCTTTATTGCTGGTTACTGGGGTAGCTTGTATGTGAACTTGATATTCAAGGACACTCTACACCATTTCTCCATTGAGTATTTTTGGCTCCTTTGTTAAATATTAGTTGACTATATTTGTAAGGGTTTATTTCTTGACTCTTGATTCTGTTCTGTTGGGTTATGTGTCCATTTTTGTGCCAATGCTGTATAGTTTTGATTACTTTAGCTTTGTAGTATAGCTTGAAATGAGGAAGTGTGATGCCTCCAGCTTTGTTTTTGGTTAGAATTGTGTTGCATATTCAGGATCTTTTATGGTTCCATTCAAATTCTAGGTTTTTTCCCCCCATTTCTGTGAAAAAAATGCCATTGGAATTTTGATAGGGATTGCATTGAATCTATTGATGACTTTGGACAGTATGGACCTTTTTACAATAGTGGCTCTTCCTATCTGTGAGTAGGGAATATCTTTCCATTTATCAGTGTCTTTTTTCAGTTTCTTTCATCAAAGTCTTATAGTTTTCAGTGTACAGATCTTTCACCTCCTTGGTTAAATTTATTCTTTTTTTTTATTTTTTTTTAAAGATTTTATTTATTTATTTGAGAGACAGAGAGAATGAGAGAGAAAGCACATGAGATGGGGGGAGGGTCAGAGGGAGAAGCAGACTCCCTGCTGAGCAGGGAGCCCGATGCGGGACTCGATCCAGGGACTCCAGGATCATGACCTGAGCCGAAGGCAGTCGCTTAACCAACTGAGCCACCCAGGCGCCCGGTTAAATTTATTCTTAAGTATTTTATTGTTTTTGATGTTATTGTAAATGGGATTATTTTCTTTATTTCTTTTTCAGATATTTCATAGTGAATATAAGCACAACTGATCTCTGTATGTTGATTTTGTATCCTACAATTTTACTCAATTTGTTGAGAGTTCCAATAGTTTTTTGGTGGAGTCTTTAGGACTTCCTCTATATAAGATCATGTCATCTGCAAAAACAATTTACTTTTTTTTCTGATTTGATGTCTTTTATTTCTTTTTCTTGACTGATTGCTCTGGCTAGGACTCCCAGTACTACATTGAATAGAAATGGTAAGCGTGACACCATGACCTTGTTTCTGACTTTAGCAAAAATCTTTTGACCTTTTACCATTGAGTATGATGTTTGCTGTGGGCTTGTCATATATGGCTTTTATTATGTTGAGGTATGTTTCTTCTCCACTCACATTTTTAAAAGTCTTTTTTTTTTAATCATGAAAGGATGTCACATTTAACCAAATGCTTCTTCTACATCTATTGAGAT